ATTTTCCACACTTTAGAAACCCCTTCCATCATTCAAAGCGCGCTCCCTTCTCAGTTTCATCCCAGGAAGACACGACCCATGTAGAATAATGTTAGCTAACTGTTACCGGTGTCCAGAATAACGGGGGGCTGTTATATCCATGAGTGGATACTGGAGCGAACACGTAACATCTACCACAATTCAAACGCATTTTCTTACCTTGGCTCCATAACGCCGGACTTGCTTTGAGGCTTTATGACAGGAGTTCAAAAAAAGTCCGAAGTACAACTACCCACTTATCTTTAGCTAACCGCACACCTGTACAAAACAACCGTGAACCCTCGTGTGAAAGTCGTAAAAACAGCGAAGTGTCTTCAAACACGTGAAAAAGACAATTCAAAGCTGAAAGTTTAGACCCAACGAGCAGGGGAGGTCGGCGGCAGACTGTGCTCTGTCAGCTAGTGTTCACATACACTCACACACACAGAGCTAGCTCCGCTTCCACAGATTGCTTTACAACCCCTCATATGCTGCCTTCAAGCGCACCCGGAAATATGGAAATCACAGATTGTTAATCCCAGTCTAACAAAGCTGCGAGTTTTATTTAAGTAAATCTCATACACAGGGCTGCAATTTAAGATTGTATTCATTATCGATTAAGTATTTCATTACTTTCATGATTAACTGATTTGCTGTTTGGTCCATAAATATCAGAAAATGGTGGAAAATGTTTTTCCCAAAGCCCAAGGTGACATCCTCTACAGAGGCAGATCTCGAGAGATGTTCATGGCGTAGCATGGAGACTTTAAGGGGTGGTAGAAATATATGCTGTTTTAATTACCAACAATCACATATATCAATATTTACTTGGAAATTAAGACATTTGAACCCAAGTGTGAACCTATCGTGACGTCCCCCATTGGTTTGTGGAGTACCACTTTGAAGCTTCGAGTGTGGCATTATGGTCGTCACCATGACAGTTTTATTATTTTGGCACATTAGTAAAGCATTGAATAGAAATATCTAAAGGTGGCATTAAAAAATAATTAGTCTAAAATGGGCCATAACAGGTCAAATTATATATGCTAAATGCGATGCATCGTTGCATCTCTACTTATATGAAGGACTGGAAGTGGGTGGGCCTAAACAGCAGTTGATATAATAAAGCAAAAACACTTTGTCATGCCTGTAGTCACACTCCTTCTGAGCTCCAATACCCAAGGCCAGAGTCTGTAAATACTGTAAAGCATTGCTGTATTTGAGTGCTACTATACTAATGTAATCATAAAATCTTACAGAAGAGCAGAGCATAGATGTACAACCCTGTGGCCATCAGGTTCTCACAGTGTTCATGTACGCTTCCCTTCAGCACACTACACCCCTGTACCTCATGCTTCATGTTCACACTACTGACTTGAACATGTACTAATATTTCCTACAGCATTTGAAGGTAGCACAGGAGTTGGCAGCCAAGAGGCAAACTGTTGGGTTTACACAGTGGAAAACACTCCTTTACACTGTACACACACACACTCCTAACAAGCAGCATCCCCGCTATTATTCTGTCGTAACTCTCCAAATTTAACAATTGTTTAATTACAATAATTACTTACTTAGGCAAATATACTAGTTGTGTAATTCAAGGCCTGTATACAAGTTTCATAAAATTGCTACAAACCCTCTAGACTGGATTAGGTTGAGGAACTATGATACACAGTTACTATGAGAGTGGAAGTAGAGTAAACTTCCTGTTATTCTCATTTTCTTCCCCCCTGACCTAATCTCCCCTTGGCTGCTGCCAGGTTTACAGTTTCAGTGTCCGCCCAGACTGACACAATCAAACAACTCATCAGGCTCCAACTGGTCTGGTGTTAGGTTGGGAGAGAGACTCTCAAAGTCTTGTACGCTGCCGACCGACTGACCGACCCCCAGCTGACACTCGCGGACAATGTCACAATGATTCAGTCCACCTTAAACAACATACAGGATAACCCTAACCCTTGCCTTGACTTTAAATCTGCTATCCCCTCTGAGGGGCCCCTCAGCCCCCTGAAAGCATTATCTTATTAATTCCTTAACTGGTTTAGTCCCTAAGCAGACATGTTGAGTCAAAATAAAGTCTAACTAATTTGTTGTTGGTCCAGAATCACAAGACTGCAGTCAGTGTTCTCCACAGCATGTAATTGCTTCAAGTTGACGTGTATAACAAGTTTGGGCTGATCCTTAAATTTCTCTACACGTACACCGTCTGATATTTTCCATCTTCAGCGGTGGAAAGTAACTAAGTACATCTACTCAAGTGAAGTTCTAAGGTACTAGTACTTTGGGATATTTGAATTTTATGCTACTTGATTCTTCTATTTCACTACTATTCAGAGGGAAATGTTCTTCGCTATAGTTACTGGTTACTTTACAAATTAAGATTTTACATAAAAACATGATGAGAAGACAAAATTGGCTGGTTTTGGCTTGTGACATCTTACAAAAAAGATGTCTATGAGATGTTAGCAGTTCCACCAAAGAGACATTTCCATTTTGTACTTCTCAGACGGTTTCATTTGAATTAAAGAGGTCACTTTATCCAATATTTCACATAAAGGCAAAGAGTTAGTCCAAACAAAAAGTACAAAATCTGTGAAACATAAGTAAGTTTTTATCTTCCTTACCTTTCCTACCACATTAGTCATCTCGAAACCCCCAGGTTTATCTTGTGACCCTTTGAGGGGCCTGACCCCTAGATTGAGAACCACTGGACTAAACTACCTAACTGTATATAAATTAGTTCAAACTAGGTACAACATTAAGCATCAGTATTAATTATCTAATAATGTAATATATATTAATATATCAGTAAGTAGTTTTTTTTTGCAGAACCAGTACTTTTACTTTAATACATCGTCATTCTCTATAAAACTGTTTTTTTCCTCTAATATCACAGAGCACTTACTCAACGCACTGGGAAAAGTTAATGAGAAAGTCAAACTAAGGTCAACTCAAACAACTTTAATGACTGACTGGTGAAATGGTTAACTTCTGAAAGTACATAGTGAAACCGTCCTACCATTTTCTCCCTGAGCTGATCATGAGGAGGAGCTGTAATGGATAGCATGGGGCTGCATAAACAAGATACAGTGAGTTTGGAGTTCTCTCTCCTCTACCTGATTTGTCCACTTTGTATATACAGTGCTTTTTACTTTTATACTTTTCTCACGATACCTACTGAAATAAATTTAAATAAATAAAAATCATTAATTTGGCACTTTTAGAACAGTCGGAGGCAGTTTGGTCGTCATTGAGATGGCTGAGACAGTAAAGCAGCAGGTGGAGTTTGCCTTTAGGACTGAAGACTATTAGCAATGTGCTGAAAAACCCCAGTAATCTATACAGGAAGTAGTGATCTCCTACCCTGATGTCATATTGCATATAACAGGATGACAGCTATCATACAGCTGCTATTTTGCAAGGATGTGAACAGTTTTTTTCACTCCAGGGATACAGAAAAAACGAGGAAGTGTATTTTTCAGTTGCATACAAAGTTCAATGTACAGGAGCAAAAAGCTATGCTGTTTACCATAAACACGGCTGTAAATCTCAATTCCTATCTGCTGGTTAAAGCTGCAGTAGGTAACTTTAATGAAAATTACTGTCATATTTGCTGACATTTTCACTGTGTCCTAGAAGTAGTACATGAGACAGACAATCTGTGAAAAAAATCAGGTTCCTCTGGGTCCTCCTAGTGCTCCTAATGGGATTTTCAAGAATCTACCGAGCCCGGATTAAAACAATCAATCAGAGCCAAGAAAAATGGAAAGACACCTTAGGTTTGAGGCTTAAAGATAATTGATTGTTGAGATTGTTGATTAAATGAGACTCAGCAATCAATTATCTTTCTTGGCTCTGATTGGTTAGAAGCACTAGGAGGAGCCAGAGGTACCTGATTTTTTCACAGATTAGTCTCATGTACTACTGTCAGGATATAGTGAAAGTTTCAGTAGATATGACATATATGATATTAAAATGACCTACTGCAGCTTTAATAGCATGTGAGCTTTGCAACAACAAAGTACATAATCAATTATTTTAGTAATAACACCAATGCAACATATCACAATAATGATGCAATAAGGCTTTGTGTAATGCAACTACAGATACTTATTTGCAAACATTTGGCAGCAAATATGTAAAAAATGATCTTTGTGCTTTATACACATGGTTATGACACCCTGAATTGTCAGTATGTAATCACAAGCTGCCTCCCACAAACAAAGATGCTGTCCACAACAACAGTCTCTTACTGAAGCTACAGAACAACAAGTTACTTAAATAGTTTCACAGCCCAGTACCAGAGCACCAGGAAATGATCTGAGATCCTCGGGAACAGGAGGACAAATCTTACTCTGTCTCACACATTCTCTCCTCATATCCCTTCCTCTTCCCCTCACTCAACCAGCTGTCTTGGCTCATGTATGCTCACAGCTGCCCAAATCACTGGTCCCCAGACATGACGAAGGCCTGCACTGAGAAGGGGAACAGAGGGGGGCTCTACATCTGGGTCAGTAACTGGTAGGTCTATTGGGCTGTCTGGGGAGGAAAGAAGGTCGACTGTCATAAATAATCCAAATCTCACAACTCTTTGTTTTCACACCGATGTCAACAAAAGAGTCTATTTTTACTGTGAAGAGAGTAGTCTCTGTTCTCAGATTCCACAGCCACACCAACACCAGCACACAGACTCGGAGGACTAATAACTCCTAATAGCTTATATCGTCTCCGTTTTAACTGGAGCAGTGCGCCATGTTAACAATTTCCATGGTTTGACTGGAAAACAGCAAAGGTTAGTGGTGAGCAGAGTGGATCTAGGCAGAGCAAGCATATTTTTCCAATGCTGTGTGGCTCCCTGCAGGAATGTGCTCTTTCAGTCACCATGGAGAGGGAGACAGAGATTCTTACTGTTGCAGGACAAAGCTTAACGCTCAATGGATGGGTTTACAGGCCCCCTCATTGTAAAAGGATTAAATAAATCAAGGCCGGTCGAGACCTAGCACCACGGCACCCCTGCCGCGCCCTTTCAGCTTCGACCAAACAGACACACACAAACACAGCTGGCCCCCGTCCAGACACAGGGTACATTCAGCCACTCTGAGAAATGCTGTAGTAACCTGGCTCACCCCTGAAGTAATTTGCATACACCTTAAGGGGCGAAACAGAAAAAGAAAGAAAAACAGGGGTGAGAGGGATAGTTAAAAGAGATAACTCTCTTTTGAGAGCAAAATATGAAATGTGGGGTTGTATTTTTACATCACTACGTCTAATATTAAAACTTTTATATACAGTATACAGTTTTTCTTTTACAGACAGATGCAAAATAGACTCAAAACCTAGATTTAAAAAAATAGATAAAACCTGAAGCAGATTAAAAATACAGCGGTGTGACTAAGAAGAATATTACAATGCAGAAGGACTTTAAGTAACAAACTTACAGGTTATATTTATGAAATTAATTTGCCACCGGGCGTTACACTAGAGCACCAGCATGTCAGACCAAAACAATGGGAAATAAAATAAAACTCCCCACCTTTGTTAGTCTTTCCACTGTTTCAACAATCATCAACTCTGGTTTGGTCGAAAATAAACCCTTAATTCACAGAGTTAGATTTGAAAGTATTTGTGAAAAGGTTAATCCTTGGAAACAAATCCACCCATCAAAGTACGTCTACTAACAGTGCGCGTTTTTGCCACCGATAGGCACAGATTGTTATTCTCAGTAGTCCATAGACAAAAAAGCTAATTTTACCTCACATATCATTATAACATCGTAATTTTATTCAGAGTGGCCAGAAACAAAATAAAACTCACCAGAACAGTCTTTGTTAGTCTTTCCACTGTTTCAACAATCACTAACTCTGGATTGGTTAAAGTAAATCCTTAAACATAGATGAGAAAAACAGCAGTTTTCAAGCTTGTTTCCACTCAGCTGCACACAGCTATGTAAGAAACAACCAGAGGAGCGCTGGCGATAAGTAACACCATACTCCACTATATTTTTACATTGGCTAATAGTTGTTTTGCCTGCCTATTTATTGTTTAAATCCTCACATAAATAACCTTTAAAAGGGAAATATGGCCATTAATTGCATCATAACGCAGAACACTGTTTCTTAATACAAAGTTTATACAATTCCAGTGAAAGCAAGTGCACACAAACAAAACACACCACACACACACACATATACTAGGAAAAAGACCTAATTGCACATTACTGTGCAATCATGGCTCTACTTATTACTGTACAACCAGATGTGGCTAAAGTCCATTATTGGTCTTACCAACTGAGGTGGTAGAGAAATGTGAATAAGTGTGTTAAAGGTTCACAGACAGGACACTTTTTGTGAAAAGGTCTGCGCCTTGTTAATGATACACCAGAAAGCGTACATTTTTATCAGTTTTAGAGTACTGATAACTGGTTTACAGACTAGTTGTATTAGAGTCACACAGTGCAAAACATCACTTGGGTTGTTGGGAGTTTAGTCTTTGGTTAGGTGGGTGGCGGTGCAGCACACCAAAGGATTTTGTTCTACCTGAACTTAGGCTGTAGTGGTTAAGCGGGTCGGCCCACCCATGCACTGTCCCTGTATTACACTCCTCCATCGTCCCAAGTCTGCACTGCAGCCCGATGGAACCAGATGGACCAAACAGAAGATGGATGGATGGGCGATGGAGACATGAAGAGAATCAGCCAGAGGGAAGAACATTCAATTAGAGAACAGAGCAACTGTGTATTTTGGGACTGTGAGCTCCAGTAGCTTTGCATAGAAATTATACTTTTGATGCTAAAGCAATAAACTGTTTTATGAGACAGCATACAGATAAAAACAACTTTTTAGCAATGAAAGTATACTCAATTAAAGAAACTTTGCATTCACAATAAGTTTTTCTCGCATTAGAGAACTTCAATTTAACTTTAAAGTTATAATCCTTAAATTTTTTTCTGAAATAATCCAGTCTTTTACAATATTTATGGTCGGCATTTTTCCAAGAAATAGCCATTCTGCCTGTGGCATTTATATTCCTGTAATTAAAATTACTATATAAGGAGTTTTCATTGTTGGTGGCAGGGTCCGCTATTCCGACATACATTCAAATTGCCTATAGTACCTACCCTAGAGCTGTATTTAAAGGACCATTGTGTAACACCCTCGCCTCACGATTCTTATTTTCAGGTGAACATTCCTATGGATATTATATCCCATTTCTGCCAACAGATCCTCCTAAATGTTACACACTGGACCTTTAACTTATTGCTGATGCTGACCAAACGTTTCCTGCTGCTGCTGCAAGTGCTAGTTCACACTAAAAGCATTGGTAAAAAACACTTTTATGGTGAAGCAGTCACAGAATTTGCAATGTATTGTTCACCAAAGTTAGTGCTATGGCATTTTATGTTTTAAGTATTTCTAGTGGTAATGGAACAGTCAGGAGCTGCCACAGTGAGGTGTTAAAGAAAGAGCTACGGGCGACACGCTGCACACCTCCAACTCTTCAGCAAGTTAACCAACTCAACTGTTGTGGAAAACCACTTGCATCGTGTGCAGCATGAAATCAGAAGGCGGTTGCTTGCGGCATGATAATAAAAGGCCAATTATTATTATTGTTATTGTTATTATTTGTTAAAACTATGTAAGCTTGTTTGGCTGTGCTGTAAACAGACACACCAGTTGCTCTACTGTTGTATTTTTGACAGATTAGTACTAAACAGCACTTACTACCCAGTTACTACCATTGACCATGGGTATTGTCAAATCAACCAAGACTTAAACTTAAGGATTACAACTTTAACTCCATTCAAACTTGGATGAACAAAATGTCATACAAGTCCAAATGTGCAAATGCATTTTGTGTGTGAGTGAGTATAGGTGGAGTGACAGGTGGATGAAGTGTGTATACCAACACGCACAGGGAGGGAAGAGACTCCAAGAAGCAGGCTGCAGGCCAGAGCAGGGGGAGGCTGAGGCAGAGGAGTCACAGTCAAAAATGCAACAAATCAAGACACATGCTAAAACTACTGTACATCCCTGTGCACAGAGACAACAACAGTATTAATGGTGCATTGCAGTGAAGAACAAGCAGTGCAGTTTTGACACAAACGGGCATTTAACAGCATCACATTTAGTTGTTTGTTCTGGAACTGCTAAAAATGAACTTGATCCAGGATCTGCTCATTTAGAGTCATGTTAATACTACTGACAACAGGGCATCTGCAGGTTTTAGAAGACCAAATATTAGACTGGATATTACTACGGTATGCAGAATATAAACCAATGACATATTTCGATTAACCATAGCTTAAGAACATATTCAATAACAAAGATCAACAAAGATATCTAAAAATATGTATTCAGAATATTTAAATAATATACTTGACCTGCGGATACTCTGTAGAGGGAAAAATGCATGATTGACAAATAAGGACACATGCAAAAAACAAAGAAGAGCAACAAGCATTGAAACATTGCTCAAAAGCAGTGGAGTGGGCAGGCAGATTAATACTGTGGAGTGTGCTGTGCGTGTACTGCAACAGTTAACTGTACACCACAACATGGATTTCTAATCAGTCACACAGTCTGAAAGGCTGAAAACTTGAGTTGGCACAGATAACACCATGCGCCTATATCAACCCTCATAATTGTGCATCTTGTGGGGTTGCTGTGTCATCACTTAATGCAGACCCCAGAGTCTCTGAGGCTTTTCAATGGTTAGGAACCCCGACTCCACTCCCCCACCCCACTCGCTGTGACAGCGAGTCATGTTGTTTTAATCAGTCTTTGGCTTTGGAAGATCTGACGTGGATACGTACAAGACATTGAGGTTTGATCAAAAGAGCTCGGTCAACATTACGTGAGCTGCTATTTCTGTCGGGCACTGCAGTGTGCAATTCAGAGCGAGGGCAAAGTTCAAGTTGAGCTTGAGTGTGTGTCGCAGCCGGCAAATGTTGTTAAGCACTCTCTTTGATTCCACAAGGGTTTATGTTATACTTTTGTCTTTGACACTCTCAGGCATGTGCTAAAGAGCTTATCTGTTTGCTCTGGACAGCAATAGATTAGCACAGTTATTTGCAGTGGATTTGCATAGTGCTGAGTCAATATAACATGATTAGCGGGCTATTTCAGGGGATGACGTATCAGAATTATGGGTTTCCTTTCACTTTAACATGCTCATAAATTTAAATTATATTATCTTTATACTGATGATTATGTGTCGTAATTCAGTTAAATGAAAACAGGCAAAGGCCTCTAACAGAGCTCTGTATATTTCATTTTCAGGTTAGGCAATATCTATACCTCCACTGCATTTCACTCATTCAAAATTATGAAATGGTGGCGTAAAGATATTACACTAGAAATCCACTCTAGAGCTCTTTTTTTAATACAAAATTAATTCCATGACACAAGTCTGTCACACCACACACATACACACGACCCCGGGCCACATCATTCATCACAAACCTAACCGCTTCCTGAATACGCGGCCATACCAGTGGGCATTAACTGCCCTCAGTGACAACTTCCTTCCAACACATTTCCTGTGAATGGTTTAAGAGGAGGAGAAGGAGTACCTGGCTTTGGCACGGTGTTGGTCATGGACTGCGGCACTTTATCATTTATGAGCTCCACACACTCGCTGGGAAAGAAGCCAACCTGGAGACAGTACAGGAGTGAGACAGGCAGGGTGAGGTGGGGAGGAAGTGCAATCGGATTTAGATAATAAAATGAAGACAGAGGGAGTGACAACACAGTCTCTGCACTGAGGTGTGGTTGTTACATCAATCACCTGACAGGATTCCCTCTTTTTAAGAATTTCAGCACCTTTCCAGGACATTTTCCAGGAGTTTTTATTGACAACACAGGACAGCACTTACTCCCAAACAGTCATCTAACTGATTGCCTTGTATTGATTATTTTTTAATGATAAAGTTCATGATAAAGTGTCTGTTTATTACAGGTAGGTGGTCAGAATTATTTGTGTGACACTGTGTTACCTCGCTTTTGTGGCACTCTTGGATCACCACAGCTTGTTTTTCTGCTGTGGCAGAAGAATTTTCCTCTCACCATGTAGCCACAGCCCATAGGTCACAGTTCAAATCAAGAAGAATGTCTTGTTTTAAAAAAAATATGGCAATGTAAGTGAGGAGCTAAAATACAATAAAAATTTTCCAGGACAACATAAATTATTTCCAGGATTTGGGGTAATTTTAATCAAATTCTAGGGGGTGTTCACACATAAGGTATCACTCTTTGGTACAGCTGCGTTTTGCTTTTAAAGAACCAAAATTTAAAAAAAGAAAACTGAACTTAAACTCTACATTGTATAGGACTACCAGATGAAGCTCAAACACACACAACCTCTTAACATTAATGACTGGCTGACTACCCCCTAATGGATACAGGTGGTACTGCAGGTGTGGTTCTGTCACTTAATCCCTCAACTTAGTTCCCCCAACACAAGTCCCCTTTGAGTTTCAGCCACGGTTAGTATGAATCTACAAAGTGCAGATCTGATATATATGAAAGTCAGGTTTCTATTGGCTCAAAGTCAGCATCCATATGGAAGACAGTCTCTCCATGTGTTTGTTCAGAAGGAGAAGCTGTGCAGTCCAGAGGAGGGCAGACAGCTCGTCTGGAATATAACTGATCAGTGAGTGCGTCCTGGCTGCCACCCTGTCAGTGAGCCTGACTGGCAGGGCTACTACTTGTAGGCAGAGAACCAAAACACACAGAGGGCTGTGTGGAGAGGGGGCAGCAGGTCAGAGGAGGTTCAGCAAGACTAGAGCCTTAAGACCAGGCCTTGTTGCTGCACTGAAAAGCTTCTGATTGCAACTAATGTAATCTCTTCAGTAGAGTTTAGGTTTTAAGGTTGAAAATAAATGATGGGCAGAATTAATAATAATGTAAGAGTTTCATTCTGACATTATTGGACCACAATTTAGAGACACAGGGCTAACTAAGAAAAGGAGGCAAGGAAAATGTGCACTGCAGTTTTTGTTGAATCTGAGGCCACATTCTACGTGGATTCAGCTCCTGATTTGCAAAGGCAGCCGCTCATCACACAGTCAGCTCCTGGGACTGACCTGGTTGACCATTTGGGATTTGTCTGAGATCATCGAGAGCAGAAAATAAATTATCTTTAATCCTAAACATTTACTTTGGAGATGGTTTAAATCCACTGGACACAGTTAGTACTACATAATCTGATGCATAAAAGTATAATCAAATCAAGTGGATATCACCCAATGTACAGCACAGAATTTCCTCTGTGTTTTCAAAATTGTAATAACCAGAAAGGCTGTTAATTTAACAGTTTGTTTTCTTATAGTTTCAAAACAGATATATGCACAAACATTTTATTATGTGTTACTAAGTTTCTAAATTTATCTTCATCTTGATTTCAGTTAGAGGCAAAATTCAAAAATAGTCTATCTATGCTCTGATGCTGAGAGCTGAAACTGGGAGAACTGAAGTCGACTTAATCTTGAACAGCGCAAGTTTCAGTGTGTTATAGGATTGTACTGATGACTGCGAAGGAATATGAATGAGTTCAGCGTTACAGCAGGAGGCACACACCCTGTAATCTGCTCAAAAGATTCACATAAAAGAGGATTTGTTTCTTTGCTTTGTCTTTGGACAAACTCTGAGTATTTCAAATCTGCTTTACAAAGCAGCATTCTCTCCTTGTCCTTGAAATGCCTCAAGTACAAATCTAATCAAACATTTAGAGCCAGGAGAAGAGACATTGAGTTTTGTTGCCCCCAGCCTGCAAAGTGTTATGTGAGCTGCGTACCTGAAAGCCATGCTTGCCCCTCCACCACGTGGTGTCTTCTTTCGGGGGCATGTCAATCACTGACACAATATCGCCAACCTACAGAGAGCAACAGAGGGAGGAAAGATTAAAGATGTGTCTGATTGTCCCTTTACCTCGGTCCATAGAAGACATCAATGACTGCTAAAAATGAAGACGTTACATAGCGAGGCTTGAACTATCAATCGCAAAAGCAACATTTTGGAAAATATGTTCTGAGCAATTTGACTGTTTCAGAAAGTATTCAGTTACCTTTTTAGCCTATTCTGAATTTGCTCACAGTAAACATTTGTATCGAGAGGACAGCTTTATTGCTGCTGCAGTCCATTTTCTCTTTCTTTCTTAAGGTCTTTGCACACCAAGTCCGTATTTTGTAAGGTACCACCTCACACTTTGTTGATCACATTTACACAACTCCAAAACTTTTGTCCGTCATTAAAGCTGCAGTAGGTTATATTTGCTGAAACCTTCCCTATATCCTGACAGTAGTACATGAGACAGATAATCTGTGAAACAATCAGTTCCTCTGGCTCCTCCTAGTGCCCCTGGGAAAACCCTGGGAAGGAGATCAATCAACTATTTTCAAGCCTCCAACTCAAAGCTTCTTTATATCTTTCCAATTTCAGCAATAATGACAAAAAGGTATTTTTTATAAAGGTTACCTACTGCAGCTTTAATGTTTTCAGAATAAGTTTGATTTCCTGTATTTTTCGCAACCGTCAAAAGAAAGAGGACAGCACAGAGACAGAGAGAGAGAGCGACAGTGTGGACACGGAGATTGAGGACAGCTCAGCCTCTTGTAGCCACGGTGCACAAATGCAAACTCGAGCAGAGAGTGGCGACAGCCTACAGAGGATCCTCCAGTGGAGGTGTCTGTATCCAGACCTTCAAATCCACCTGCTCCAGCGAGTTGACACTTCTGTCTGACATCAGGCAACCAGTGGAGAGAAGCAAGGGAGGAAATGAGAGAGAATGAGCGAGAGACAGAGCGACAATGGTGTCAGGCTTTGCAGGAGCAGATAGCTCCTTTATTAGCAGGTGAAACTCTCCCTGGTCTTGACACCTCTGACCCAATATTTCCTTTATCTTTTTCTACTTTTAAGAGAGAGGAGCACAAAATCATCCTCATGGGTGGATGACTCTGTCTTGAATTGTGAGATTAACAAAGGACATCAGACTAATGATTTTCATCGGATGATGGATTAAAAAAACGCATACAAAATTGGTGTGCAAAGGCCATCACTGTCAAGCAGCTGAGGAAATATCAGCGAGGAATTCAAATGGAATTTCAGCATATAGACATAGAGAGAGAAGTGTGTGTGTGTGTGTGAGTGAGAGAGAGAGAGAACTGTTGTTGTTGTCACCTCAAAGGACAGCTCGTCTGAGGCCTGTGCGATGTAGCGCTTGATGACGTGGGCAGCAGCAATAGCTGGCACATTGATAGACGACTCTTCATGGACTAACAGATGATTTCCCTTATTGTCGACCTAGTACACACACACACACACACACACACACACACACACACACAACTTACACATCATTTCATAGACATTAGCTAACGATCAAACGGGTAGAAAAGATACAGAAACATGACTATATAATAGCCATGCCAAAAAAAGCGATTTTGGTAGAGTGGAGAAGAAATTCAGCAATTCCTTTTCTATCAGCTTATTCAAGGATTTCTGCTGCTGAAAAGAAATGGATTAGTATGGGGATAGCTAGAAACAAGGCTTTAGTAACAGTACAGCAATATAAAAGTATTGCTATAGTAATCCTGTAGCTATAGAAATTTACATTAATCTTATACAGCAAAGTAGGAGACTATAAGGCCCCAGTTCCTGGTTTTAATCTGCAATGACTTTCTGTCACCATTTGTCTTCCTTTCCTTATTTGTTGATTGTTTTTTTTGCTTTTTTGGTCTTTCTCTTTGCGGCATTAGATAACTCTGCAGTGTTTGAGACTAAAGCTCCAGCAATTCAAACAGCAACCTCTGCATTAGAGGTGCAAGGATTGGTTGATTATCGATTAGTTGTCGACTATTAAATTAATTTGCAACTATTTTGATAATCGATTAATCCTTTCAAGACATTTGTTGAGAAATTCTTTCAAGATTTCAGCTTCTCAAATTTGAATATTTTCTGGTTTCTTCAGTCCTCCATGACAGTAAACTGAATATCTTTAGGTCGTAGATAAAACAAGACAATTGACACTTTGGCTTTGGAAAACACTAATCAAAAATGTTCACCATTTTCTGATATTTTATAAACCAAACAACTAATTGATTAATTGAGAAAATGACCGACAGATTAATCAGTAACGAAAATAATCGTTAGTTGCAGTCCTACTCTGCATGGCTATTACATTGGGCACTGGAAATTAGCTGTAGCTATAACTGCTGTGATACACTGCACTGGATATTTAGCTATTTACTATGTAAACTGTATCCATAATAAATGAAATTAATTGGAATTGTGTTAAAAAACCCTGCAGGTTTGTAACTAGAAAATAATACTACAGTGTTTTTTCTTATTCACAATGTGCAACAGAATTTCCTGAATGACCATTCCATGTGTAGGTAAGACCATCCAAGGGCAGAAATAATAATAAATAATAGCTGTCTAAAGAAAAGCCTCAGACTTTTGGCTCTCGGGCCCACTGAAAATATTGTGTTTTTTTCTGCTAAAGAGTCAGTGCGCTCCTTTAAGAGTGAGGACAGTGCAGCCTTACCTCCATCCACGTGAGGGCGGGCCCGCAGTTGATCTTGTTGTCAGCGATGGCTGAGAGCCGGGAGAGGTAAGCTAACAACATCTGTGAAACTGACTGAGATGGAAGAAAACACACGGGCCAGTTAGAGTCATTTACTGCAGATGGTACTTTTTACTGCTGTAATAAAACGTTGAACATTAAACTGAGCTCTTACGATGGGTGTTAATAATTACCATTAAAAGTCATCAGCTGCTTTTGTTGTGTGTTTCTTGAGTGACAGGCAGCTAATTACAGAGCTAGAGAGTGTTGCATGGTGGTAAACCACTTGAAATGACATTTGCAGCTATGACTTCATATTACAAGGCAAATTTAGTTTTATTTAGCAAATTTTAGTTTCCGGTGCCCAGCATCTGCATGATTGAGCTAATGATGACAGCAAACTTTAAAGAGAAGAAGTGGTGGGATGCAAGTTTCAAGTTTCAGCTCCTGTAGCTTACTGTTCACAATTGAGACCTTAAGAATCCTGTATATACAGCTACTGGTCAAAGTATAATAGTGTGTTGCAGGCAGCTTTGTCAAGCTATTATTCTGAAAGCATCCACACACACAATTACCCCTCAGTGATAAACTGGTTTTACCAGTTGTGTTTGATACCTCTGCATTCCTTTTAAAGCCTCTATCTGACCATAAAGGTTTTGTGTGGCTCGGAATATGTTTCACAGGCAGGTTGAAGAGGGAATAGCTGGCAAATTACCAAACTGTGCATTCCCAAGTCAAAAGCCATGTAGATCATATTGGATATCAAAGCACAGTAACTGGAATAGGTTTTATCTAGATAAGTGATACCTTGTTAGCTTGGATTTTAAAAGCATTTGGGGAGCTATCATTCACTTAATTTAGGGGGTTGACCAAGAATGTATGGTTCAGTGAGAGTGTAATGTAGTGTGTAAAATTTAAGAAAAGCAAGGTTCCCCAAATCCCCCAAAAAATATTAATACTGCATACTCTACGTGAAAAAAGAAAAGTGTTTTAATAAGATTTTACCTGTGGCCAGGATTCATCTCAAGTTAAATGTGAAGAAAATGGAAAATGAAAACTAAATCCGATAAAGCTCCTTAGTGGATTATTTTGCTCACGGCCTTGAATCCTTCGGTTTGTAGTTAGAAATCCACTAAGCAAGTGTGTGAATGTGTATTTTTGGTGCCTACCTCTGACTGATCAGTCAGACTGTCCAATCGAGGCAGCTCAGGCAGCTGGGAGAAGCGTCGGTCGTAGATGCAGAGGTGCAGGTGCTTGTCCAGGACACGGAAATCCTCATAGCTGCGCTTCACAATCCAACTTCGACCCTTCAGAACCACAACAAAAACACACGGGTGTAAGCAGCGAGGAAACATTCCATTCAACTGCAGCTATGTGTAAGCTGATGCTGTGTAATGCACACAACTGTGCCTAAAACAATGAAATCACAAAAAAAGAGTGTTTGAATTGTAAGGTTTACCCAAAATGCAATGCACTTTGTAGTGACCCTAGCTAAACATTGTGTATACCTTGATGCAGCCAAGTGTTTCTAAAGAACGGATTCATGTTTGAGTTTGATGAATGCATTTTCCTACCACCAGATAGTAAATGGTTTCCATTCATTTCTGTACAATGCGATAATCAACTAGCTGAATCTGTGTGGGACTGCTTTGAAGACTATTCTGGGTTGGTGCGTTCAGGTCCTGGCGGGAGCATCCAACATTTGAGTGCCTTAGGGCAGGCTGCACAATGGCAACTCTTTGAATACAAGACGTTGCCAGATTTATATAATCCTTTATATATGTTTGTCTTTTGGTTGTGATTTTCAAACATTCCTTCTGCTTGGAAAGGAGGAAAAGTGATTTATCCATCTAAAAATGAAAGCTGTCGCTCATAGTGACAAACAGTTAATTATCACCCGACTGTGCATCTTTCAGCTAATTGTTTTGGTTCAACTTCAAGAAATGTCTGTAATTTCTATCTCCTGCTGAATTTTGTATTTTTTGCTGGTCATGCCACTCCACTCCATCCATTTTATTCTCTAATATATACAAATCGGTTTGAGTGTTCTGCCATCTAGCGGCTCCACCATTACTGTGACCCTGTGACTGCTGCTGATGAAGGTACTTTATACAGATGTCGATCTGAGCGTTATTTAGATTTTACATATTAGTGAGACATTTGTTAAGACACTAGCCTGAAATAGAAAAACAGAGAAATAGAGAAAAAACGGACAACTTCACTATTCGCCACATTTCAAATGATGTACTGTGTAATCCTACTATACTAATGAGCTAGCATAATCAAGAGTTCATCACAGACCAGTTATATTAGTAAAAACATTATAAAACACAAATTTATGTTTTTACATTGGTATTCAAGATTATTTCATCAATGGCCTGGTTTGTGAACATCTTGGTACATGCCCGGGGAATCTATGTTAAGTGTAGCCCCTTGACAAACCATAGCAGGCTTCTTAGGTTGTCTAGTGAGGTTGAAAACTCAAAGTCAAATACAGACACCAAATATTTTCTTATTACATTTATGGATAACATTACAGGAAAAGTCTCTGTGTTAAGACAAGCCCACTAAAACCTTTATCAACCAAACTACTGTCACACTGTGTCATGCTTCAGATACAATTGCTGAAAAAAATCTAAATGGAAGTCAAGTCTCCCATGGACTTGTATGCTTTGATATTGGAAATGTCTTCATAAACAAAGAACATCAACGGCTTACTCAGCCCTTCCTATTAAAATGCAGTGATTAAATGTCAACAGTGCAAGTGCAAACCAAGAAAATTTTGCCCCCAATCCACCACATTAAATCTAACTATTTCTCTTTTTCTTTTTTAAATCTAAGCGTTCTTCCATTGATTTGTTGTTTCTTTTTCATCCAGTAAAACAGGAATCCAAACCTCAAAACCCCACTGAGAGAAACTAGCGGTGGAAAAAGAATTTCGCTTTGATTTGGCCTAGAAAGATCCGTCTGTACCGAGGCCAGGGCTTGTGCGACTGGGACTGCAGAGCAGCCCTCAGCCCACTGATTCTAGTGCTGTTTTAAAAGTGCTGGCTGGTGGAGACGCGCAGGGAGGGCTCTGTGGGCTAGGGGAACTCTTCATGCTTTCCTGCCCCACTTTTAGACTGGTGCTTCAAGTTCCCCCCTTTTTCTGGGTCTGTGGAACTGGACCAATCTCACCGTTTCTGTGCTACTTTCTCTGTTGAGTGCAGAGCTCAAGGCCAACTCTTTGCCAGGTTTCTCCCCCCCTTTTTAGAGAGATCTAGTGTAGATTTAGCAGTTTTCCGATGGCTGTAAGAAGTTGGAATTTCCAAGTACGCAGCCGCATACTTGTGTGGCATTGCCAAGGTCGTGCAAATGGAATATGATCTGTAGAGTGGAATGTATGAAACCAGAATCAAAAAATGTCACTGGAGGAGGCTGAGGCAAAGCTTCTGAGCAGCTGGTGTGCATGTGTGTGTTCTACTTTAAGGCTATGCCCAATTTTGGGTTAATCAATTATTTTTGCAAAACTTTGTGTATGATGTAAGCATAAATAATTTGCTTTTTACTTTACTCTGACATACTCCTTAGAAAGGATCCTTAAAGATGACTAAGTCAACTTCTACTTTGCAAGACCTTTGCAGTGAAACTAAGCAAGGAATAAACAACTATCTGTAAGAAGGAGACAACTATGGACACAGCAGTGCCAGATGAAGGGAATACGCTATAAGGCCTCTGCCATCAATAATAGCAACTGATACTACGGCTGTCAGTAACTGTTGCGATGAATGATTGAATATTCCAAAGACAAAGACATCTAAAAAGAAAACATATATCCTCTAGGTTGCTAGTGTTGTTGGACTATATATAAAGACCCAGAAATAATTGTGATAAATGATATTGTAATTTTAAAGGTCCAGTGTGTAACACTTAGGAGGATCTATTGGCAGGGTATTCATAGGTATGTTTTCATTAGTGTATAAAATCACCTGAATGTAGGAACCATTGGGTTTTTGTTACCTAAGAATGAGGTGTTTTTATCTACAGACACTGCGGGTCGCCTTCCATAGAGTCCACCATGTTGAACCACCATGTTTCTACATTAGCCAAGAAGGGACAAACCAAACACTGGCTCTGAATGGGGTGTTTGCATTTTTTGCACTTGTTTCTCTATTGCACTTAGAAGGGGAGGGTGAAGGGAGCAAGTTGCAATTTGCAACTACACTGCAAAATAACACCAAATCCTACAAACTAGACCTTTAACACCATTTTTATGTCACTAATATAATGATAAGCATAACAGTGCATGAGCAATTAACTTTTAACTCTTAAGAATATTTTGACATTGGAATTGTACAGTGAAACATTGTTTTAAATATCATTGATAACTAAAATATAAAACGACAACCAAAACAGTACATGAAATTGACTCTCGGGCTCTGTTAAAGGACTAGTGTGTAGGATTTAGTGGCATCTAGCGGTAAAGTTGCAGATTACAGCTAACTGAACAATGTATCTGACAACCTTGGAATTAGAATGGGCCGTGAAGCGTGTAGGAGAAATTACGTTGGCTGAAAAAATAGGGAAAAACACAAAAAGCCCTGTCTAGAGTCAGTTTGCCTTGTCCGTTTTGGGCTACTGTAGAAACATTGTGGACTCCATGGCGACCTGTGGTGTCTGGAAATAAAAACGGCACATTCTTTGTTAACGACAACACAATGATTCCTATATTCAAGTGATTACACACTAATGAAAACATACCTATGAATATTATTATAATATTCTATTCTATTCTGCCAAAAGATCTTCCTAAATGTTACACACTGGACCTTGAGCAAAAATTGCAAATCAATACTAGTACTAATACTAGGCTATAGAGTCATTCATTCCTTAACAGGCAATATAGTAATAGTATGGAAAACCCTGCTGTTTATTCTGGCATCACGTTTGCTAAAATATTTCTGACATTCTTAAATGATAAGTCGATAACATAATTATTTTGACAGGCCTACTATCCTCCAAGAGATCTACATAAGCATCGAAATCTGAAAAATACAGCAGAGGTAACAAAATATGCAGGAGCAGGTGTACAGTCTATAAAACCTCTGGGTTTGAAGAACTCGCACTCTGAAGCCCTTTCTATCCGACATTCTTTAGAATCACTCACCCATCCTGGCATCCTTTCACAGCTCTTTTCCATTCAGTTCCAAATTCCCACATAACTTAGATTTTTGAAACAATAAGTTAGGAGTTTCAAAAATGTCTGAATTTGAGCCAGCCCTCTGCTCACAGGGAGGACTGTGCTGGGTATGTGAACAGGTTGTAATGCACCATCATTTGTGGGTTGGAAATCACCTTTGACAGGTTCGTTTTTTTGTGTGTGTGTGACTGTGTGCGAGTGTGTGCAAGTGTGTGCAAGTGTGTGCGTGTGTGTGCGTGTGTGTGCGCGTGTGTGTGTGTGTGTGTTTGCAGGTAAAAATTGAGTCTCTGTGAGAGTTTGTATATAATTACATGAAGTCTATGCATGCTGTGGGAGGTTAGGTATGCATTTATATTTCTGTATGACTGCACCGTCGACCCAGTGGAGTCTGCTGTCTTACCTGGCAGTAAATATGAACTAAGTACACCAGCTCCTTGGACTCATAGCCGTTCCGTGTCACTTCACACTGTTCATCCCCGAGGGACAACTGAAAGATACAGAGAAAGAGAGGGGTTGCCGCATTAGACAAGCATTTTTCATTTCATTTCAAGGAAAGATATCAAATCAGGTAATGGTGATTTGGAAAACTGACTTCAACATCTTCAACTTCACAAACCCTTTGACAAGTCCATTATTACAAACTCATGGGCGGACAGCACTACAGCATGCACAAAACCCACAAAACGTCAATTTAGATTCTATTCACGATCCTGAGGTTTGCCAAACGTGCACAAAACGAGGCAGGAGAAGTCTTTTCTTTTCATGATGCAGCATGACTGATTCAGTCATAAGTGTAGTATGATGTAGCTTTAATGAAGAGTACCGGCACAAGATGTAAAATAAATATGAGCTGTTGTCAAACAGTGTAGGAAAAGTATTTTATTAACTTTAAAGCTACTCATAAGGACATTTCAAGGCAATATTAGGAGTATTAGTTTCACTGTCCTATTATTACTCAAAGGAAACATCTCTAAGAACAATTCTTTCCTTGCTGATATCCCTGTCCCTTGCCAGACAAAGCGAGGATAAAATGACAGTGCTTACCTATACTACATTGGGAAAAACGGGGCAACACAAAATAACTGAAAGAAAACGGGGACACGTTCAAATGCGGTCCACTGACAGGAAGCATCCGGAAATAAATGGACATTGTATAAGATGATTACACTCAACGGTTCCAAGTGGACCAGTGGCGAGCGCCCACATGTTGATGAAATATAGATGAGGAAACAAAACATGAAGCTGGGGGCGCTGGCACAGTTAGCATATGCGTAGCAGAGAGCAGAATCGTATGGACAGCTGTGTTAAGGAAGAAGCTGCTGTCGGGTCTCTTCTTTCACAGCTTCATCCAACTTCACTGTCTTGTGCGTTTTAAGAAACAGACCTCAGTTAGATGCTCTTTAGAAAGAAAAGTTCAACTCAAACCTTCATGGAAAAGAAATAAAAATTTAATTCTGGCTCACATTCTTCTCCAAGACTTGTAATAGACCTTTGTCACAGCAGCCATTTCGATATGAATTAGGTGAAAAATGTCTATTAGCAACTGTTGCATTTAATTGTTAATAATTATTATTTATTGTATACAAAACCAAAATCATATATCACAGTTGCATAATATTACACCTACATTAAATTGTTCGCTCTCAAGAATACTAATCCGCATTAAGCCAATATGGACACGTTTTATTTCATTTTTTGTACCTGGATGACAATTCAGAAGTGCATATCTAGCCTTTCATGCACACAATCCTATATAAAAGGTAATGAAATGTGTTTTGTAACATAAATTACCTCTATAGTCCTTTATATTTCTCATTTTCCTTGGTTCTTTATTGATAACATTATCTCATACCATGTTATACAGATAGATAAACCTAATGTTGAAATGGTGGCGTACGTGGACTGTTCCATTCTCTAAACCTGATAAATGACCCACACTCACAGTAATATAATACACAGCCTGTATTTAATTAAACCTGGGTACATGAGAGTAATCCCAATAAAACTGAATCCCCAGACTCTCTTCCATGTAATTCAGCATATAAGAGTCCCTTGTGTTCTCTCATCCCACCAACACCTACAGTCCTCCGTTAATCCTATTATTTTAAACCTTACAGGTGTTCAGTAAACTCCAATTTTGCATAAAATCAGGAAACGTTAAATATTTCCCGTCTCCAAATATCACTGGGGCCTCTAGTGGTACTCAAGTTCCTCTGCTCAAAAGATAAATACATGTCACTTTTGTGGGTATCTCCCACAGAGAAAACTCCTTCCTCAATGCATTTAAGGTTCTCTCTACATTATCCCACATGAATGAATATTTTTGCCTTATAGGGATATATTTTAATTAACCCATGAACTGTTAAGCATACAGTTCTGGAGTGGTCAAGGATGTGGTTTTTATCTGACACATGAACTTATATCCTTTCTTTTCTGAGTCAGCACTAGAGGTCTGAATGGGGCTGCCATTTGGTTCTGCAGTTCAATCCAACCTAAATTACTGTTAATCTGCTTACCTAACTTGTTGATCTCAAAGGCCATAATTTAAATGTCTATATTTGGAAGAGCTAGTCCGTAACAACAGCAGCAACGGTCCCATTGTGAGAGTATTTGATGTAGTTTGTTTCTGTATGAATCAAGCATTAAGTATCTTCTTCTCAGCTACTCTAAATCAAACTTAACAACCAACACAGGCCTTTTCCATCTCTCAGTGACCCGTAACTTAATGTGGAGCCATTGTCACAGGTTCTGCTTTTATGGGGGCCAAGTTCCTGATTCTACATTTGGGCACTGCTCATGTACTAAATCCAAGTTCTAGTTATTGTTGGGGGAAATGCTAGATAAGCACTGGAAGTGTGTTTCAATATACAGGTGATATTGTGATTCAGAATATGCTTTCCGCATGTTTTGCTGCCTTGTTCTGCATTTTTAACAGTAAATTGTGTGTACAGTGATGGGGAATATGCAACTACAGGAGTTAAATTAGATTTTCCAGTAATGCTGGTCTCCCTTTGCTCCATTCTGATGACCTCCTATTAGGGATGTAACCATACACTCCACTCATGATTCAATACAATTCACAATATCATTTTCTCACAATCTTTTTTTCATTTTTTACGAAATGAGATTGAAGACAATTGATGACTGAATGTTTTTTTTATTTATTTCTCAAACAAAAATCTAAAGAATATATTTTCTCTTACAATGCTTTTTTATTTCTGTGGTAAGGGTTAACTGTGCAAAACACTGCATATTTCCTTTTCTTTGTAAATGTGGAACTTAAAATATATCCCTGTAAACTACGGAAACATATCTCTTGCCATTTCTTGTCTGATATCTTTTTAACTGACTTAAAGCTGCTACACCTCTGGTTTTAAACAGGACGGTGCATCCCCATTTTCAAACCATTCATCTAAGGTCGCCATGTCTTTGCCTGCTGCTGACGCGAGTTACGT